TAAGATGTATGGAATGCCCTACGAATTGTAAGTTACATTTCGTTGAACTCTCAAATGTTATTCTATATTTAAAAAAATCAGTATTTGTTTTTTAGTTTGACCTGCTTCCTCTGGCAACTAGTACGAAAATAAACGGGTCACCATACATCTGTAACATTCAAAGCTACATTAACGCTTCACATTGAAAGCGCTAATCAATATCTGTAATGTACAGTCAAGTGCGATATTTTCAAATGAAAATACAGTTACACCCTGATAATTTTCTTCCACAGATATGTACATCTATATTTTATACAAAAACGATAAATAAAAGTATGCATGGACTATTTTGAATTGTTGTTTACCTAAAATACATTTTCATACCTAATTATTTCTCAAACAAATGATTTGTCAAATATTCTTGTGATACTATTTAATTTGTTATGATGATAGCAAACTAATGTAACTCACTGTAAACAGCAGCAGATAGGCCACGCCCAAAAGTTTTCTAACAAATTAGGGGTGCTGCTTCTGTGCAAGAATATCTGGACAACGTGCCGCAAATTTGCATAAATCACGATGCTGGTCATTGAAAAGGTATAAGTATTTATGGCAAACTAAAATAAACTTCATAAAAAAATACACCAGTGTCCAGTGTACACATTAAGCATTGCCAAACTCAGGGAGCAGATTATCTCCTGGTGCAGCTTAACTGTTGGTGTTTACAGTAGTTGGAACTCATTTCAACTAAGTTTCACGGAACCAAAACCAAATGTAATCAGAGTGGCCAAGCAAAGGATGTGAAAATGTCACAGTGAGTGAATTAAAACTCAAAGAATAAACCTCTAAACTACTCGAGGCCTGGAAAAACTATACTGAATGAGTCTGGAATTGCTTTGGTTCTGCATCTGATTGGTTGAGAAGGTGGTATAAGATTTTTAACATGTTAACTCTCAAGATCTTAATTCTCCCCTCTAGCTGCTGCACATTTCCTTGTAAATTAGTAAGGAGAATTTAGTGTTACAGTCGAACCTCAATTATCCAGACTAGTTGGGACCTCGGTAAATATCTGGATAATCGAGGGTCCGGATAATCGAAAATATGAATATTAATGAGATAGAAATGTAAACAAAAGGTATACAGCAAAAAAAACATCATTTTAATTGTGATATCTATACAGCCTGTATGTATTTGCAAATAAGGCATCGGAACATTTCTTTCTCTCGTCACACTTGGGAATTTTGAAAAGCGCACAGGATAGTACACTGTTTGCACAGTCTTTTGAAAGGATTATTGCGCTTTTTGCGACTTTGGGTTTTCAAGATCACAACTAATTAATATTTATGAAAAAATTGGGACCAGAGAAAAAAGTCTGGAGAATCTAATAGTCCAGATAATCGAGGTCCAGATAATTGAGGTTCGACTGTACTTAGTTCTTATTAACCGAGTGGGAGGTCTGTATGGGAGAATCTTAACTGAGGTTTCCAGTACAGACCGAACGTAGTGAGGTCTGTACCAGTGACCGAGGTCAAGATTCTCCCATACAGACCAACCTACCTACATTTAATAATGTTTATTATTAAAAACTAGATCATTGGATAATGTAATTCAAGACTTTTTATTGGCTNCAATCACTGATTATACTCCATTGAAAGCTGCTCTACTTTGGAATAGTATAACCTGTAAAAGCTGGCTTATTCAATCTGTCATACTGTGCACTTCTTGTACAACTGAAAATGGATGTGTGGTTCCTGTAGGAAAGATTATGGAACATTAAGTTTTGAAGACACTAGGACTGAAATGTATACTGTACAACTAAAAGTCTAAGAAATTATTGCACTTAGTTTCATTTTTGATTATCATACTGACCAACTGAGTGACTTGCTAGCTCATATCTTCTTGAATAACTAATTCACTAACTAACTGAATAATAACTCACTAAGTATCAGTGGCAGATCAAGACATTGAGCTAAGGAGGGGGGCTCCATTTTTTGTGTGTATATCCCTCCTGACTTTTCTTCCTTCTACAATTTTTTTTTACCCAAAAGAAGGGGAAGGGGGGGCATATATCTGCCACTTTCTGTGTTATGAGTTTGATGGTTGAGTGGTAGGTGATTTGCAGTCTAAACAGAACGCAGGGTTGTCGGAACAGCAACAAGAAGATTTATTCCAAAATGAACGTAGTTTCCACTTGATAAACTATACACTAGTATGTAACTCAGTAAACTTACCCGGCCTCCGCCAACTTTGATCGACTTGAAAATACACACAGCTTCTGCCAACTTCAATAATCTTGAGAAATACTCATGGCCTCCACCAACTCCAATTAACTTGAAAATACTCATGGCCTCCGCCAAATTCAAAAAACACTGCCTCATCCCACTTGACTGATCACGACTGATCACAACTAACTCTCTTCACTTGTGAAAACTTAGTTAAAACTTCGCTTAACCTATCCTACTTATATACTTGCGTGATAAAATTCTAGAACTTTCTAAGAAGGATCTAATTATAGCAACATTACAAATTATACCAATTTTAGAAACGATTACATAATTTACTAAAACAAACAAGCCATGACCTTTCGCATAGCTTCCAGAAGGTCATGCAACATTATTTTTAGTAACAGTCTGCTGACTGACAAATTGATTCACTGAATAAAAAAGAAATGTTACCTGTTTGTTTGTCACCCGCCAATGAGAATCATTGGGCGATTCTTTTGTTTAGCAATGTTAAACATTCCTGTGAGAGGAGTGAAATTAATATACAGCCAATTATAATGTGCAAATGGTTAGACTACAAGCAGTCCCTCCTTTTTGGTGAAGTCCTTCCCTTGAGTAAAAAAAAACCATTGAAAAGAAAATTGATGTTACGTAGTGCACCACAGGGAGCACTTTTTTTTTTTCACTAATTTTTCTTGACTTTGATGATGGACTTTGCAATCTGGTTGTTAATTCTCTCCTCTAGCTGCTAGACAGTTTGAGTATTCTCATTACCTGTTTGCTGGATAATGTATGGATTTTATAGGGAGAAGTTACAGGTTGATCACTTCTGGGATTTGAAGGGTTAGGTGCATCATCTTAAGATGTTTGTACAATTCATGAGTGCTTCTTGTAGACATAATTTATGTGTACCTGCATGCTGTTTCTTCTTCCTCCCAACTGCGGCACCGATGATTTCTAAAAGTTCCTCTTCACTGGTTCCTGCTCGCAGAGAGTCTCGCAAAGATACTTCAGAGTTACCAAACAAACACACCTTAAGAATACAAATAATAAATGTAAACAAGATGCCCAGAGGCAATAACATATGATGTATAAGTTGTTGTCCATAGTTACTTCAATAATGGTTTTATGTGGAACATACAAATAAATTTAATCTGAATCTTCAAAGTAAAGGAATGAAATTTTAAAATTGGGACAAGTAAAAAAACGCAACATCACAGGTTACCCATCTGAGTAGTGATCCTGCCAACAGGGCTTAACCTCTGTGATGGATGCAAGAGCACCTGGCTGGTTATTACAAGACTCCAAGGACACCTAAACAAATTTTTAATGTGGTCTGCGACAAGCATTTCATGTAATCATTGGAAAGCTAAATGAAAATTTCGAATCAATTTCCGAACCTTAGGAAAGGTTTACTGGACTAGATAGACCAGATAACTCTTAAACTAAAAATAGACTTAGGGAGGGGTCCTTCCAGTACCATAGGCTATCATTCAAACCCTGCTCAAGAAAATATAAATAATCGTTTCATTCAATATCCACTAAGTAGTCAGTACATGTACCTTTAAATTCCCATCTGCTGTGATCCTCAGTCTGTTTCAGCTTCCACAAAAATGCTCACTCATAGAGGTGATAAACCCAAACTGACCAGAAAAACCTGGAACCTTGTATGCCTGAACAACAACAAAAACATGTGGAAAAGAATCATTTTAACAGCAGGTTACATTGAAAAGTATTGCAGGATTGCACTGCCTGATAGAACACAGATTTCAAAAATTAATTGAAGACTAACTCTTTGATTGACTAACCAACAGTTGACTGAGTGTGTACTAAATGCATCTAATTGACAAACACACCATCTGAACAGACAAATTTACTGACTGACCATTGACTAAACAAAGGGCTAACTAGCTGAGGACCAGCTTTTTGCTGACTGACAGGCTGATCAACTGTTTGATTGACTGACTTAAGTATTGACTGAATAATTTGGTTTTATCAATTGAGTTGATGATTAAAACTAAATTGGTCACAGTAAAGATCAGTTTCCCAAGCTGACCTTTCAAGCATTAGCCCTTTGCTGAATACCCAAACATTGACTGTCTGACAGACTGACAGTCATTGACTGTTTCATAGACTGACTGACTCACTAAGCAACCAAACTAGTAAATGTACTAATTTTAATTTAATTTAGTTTAGTCCATTTTCACTGCATTAAGTTTTGCAGTGGGAAAGGACTAGAAAGGAACATAGGAACCATTCGTGCTAGTCCACCCTCCCACCCATCCCACCCCAGGGGAGGACATCCATCACACAGTAATCTCATGTGTGGGAAATTAACGTCTCCTACCCCAACCCTGTAAGAGACGGGACCTCCATTTATTCGTCCCTATCCGAGAAGACTAGAATATCTAACCATTTCTTGATGTTACAGAAAGGTAGCAAATTCTTCTCAATTAATTTAAAACCCTGAGTGTTGGTCCGGCCAGGGCTCGAACCCTCAACCTCCCGCACAACAGTCCAGCGCTCTAGCCATTGAGCTAACTGGGAGGCGGTTAGTACTGACTAACTACTTAACAAACTAAAAGCAACTTGCTAGTCAATATGCGAAAAAAAATTCTAGTTAAAAGCTTTTAAAAATTAAAATGAGAGTACCACCACCCATAGATAACTGTTGCAGTACTTTTCATACCTTTGAGGTATCATTAGGATGGTCTGAAACCTTCTCAACATTTGGCCACGTCTTAGATATGCTCTCTAACATCTCGCTGTATGGAACAAATTTCTTGAAGTTCCATTTGTTACCTGAGAGAAAGCAGCCACAATATATATATGTCTCATTAACCAAGCGCGAGGGCCGTACTGGGAGAATATTGGCCCGAGGTCTTGATAGTGCAGACCGAGCAGAGCGAGGTCCGTACAAAATAGACCGAGGGCTGATATTCTTCCAGTACGTTCCCAAGCAAGCTGTTAATAAGAGATTTATCATACGACTGAAGTTCAAAGGGACACAAGTGCGGTATCATTCGGGACCATTCGGGACAGTGCCCGGTCCAATACTGTAATGATGTTAATTTATGTATGTTGAGTTAATTTATACAGTTTACCTTACATCTGAGTTCCCAGATGTATTCGTCCGCTTCGCTTGATGTGTACTCGGCTTACAAGATTAAATGTTGTGTTTAGAGTCTCTGGTGTTTCACTGTCTGTCTTAGCAAACACGTTACAAATACTGAGAGAATATTGACCAGCAATAGAGAATTTTGATTGGTTGATTTTAGCTATTGGCCCTCTGACTGCCTGAGTCGTGTAATATATAATTACTATCAGTACTGACTGAATACCAGTGTCTCATTCTTGTCTCATTCTCTGTATTGATTATTATTTATTAATAATAAAAATGGTATCTTTAAACTTACCATCAAATGGCATGTATTCTATGAACCTCACATCTATAGCCTGGTATGATGAAAACAAAATATCACATATGAGTAAAAAATAGAACACTTGTCTAAACTTAATTTGTATTTTTTAACAGTTTTAATTTGTTTTCATTTACAACATCAAATCACACTACACAGTTAACCTTGAATGTTCTTACAAGCTCCCCAACTGGATACCCTAAAAATTAATAATCCATATATACACACTTTCATACATAAATTATTATTCATAATAATATATTTTGAACTCTACCTTATTCTGTGTCATTTCCACAAAGTTACAGACTTCATCTTCATTTAATCCTCTCATAACCACACAATTCACCTTGTGGAAATATCACACAAAATAATTATTAATGAATTAATTATTTCAATTAATTATTAATTAATTATTATAATAAGCTATAATCCTTAACCCTTTAACTCCCTGCAGTTATTAGCATGAAACTTCTCCCTATAATATTCGTACATTGTCCAGCGAACAGGTGATGAGGATACTTAAACCTTTCATGTTGTGGTTCTCGTCTCAATCTAACACCAAATAGGCCATTTTACAGTAAGGTTGTGTACTTAGTTGCCAAGCCTTTGATTCAGAGTGAGGCTGAAGGTCACCTTCTTGTGATAGAGACCTGTATCTAGTTAGCAAACTGATAACAAAGTGATTTACATTTGAAAGGCAGCAAGGTTTGTATCATAACAAGGTCACCCCCAGCCTCACTCCCGTTCAAAGGCTTGGCAACCAAACACACAACTGTAAAATGGACTATTATTATTGTAACGTATTCATAAGGAAATGTGTGGCAGCTAAAGGGGAAAATAAACAATCAGATCTTGGAAGTGAAAAGGTTAAATCAGATATCTTACAGCTGTATATGCTTGAATTCTCAATTTAACTTGAGCTTGTTGTACTCATCCAATCACATTAGCCTTGAGCACCACGTTGTTGTCTGATCATTTGCAGCGGGTGAAAGACGAGGCCCCAAGCTGCGGCCAATTCAATTTTTCAGTTAAGTGTTAAAATGTCAGTCCCTTCAAATTATTTGGTCACTTTTGCCAATTAAGGTTTGAAAAATAAATATTATTATACAGTACCTTAACTGGGTTGTAGCCAAGTTCTAAAGCACAGTCAATGGATTCCATGACCTTATGCCAGCCTAGGAAACATTTGAGGGAAAATATTTGGACTTAGTTGTCAGATTTATCACCTCTACACCAGCCCCCTGTGCTAGCATTACAAAAATTTTAGAAATTATTGGGAAACCATTTGATGGATGGTCCTTCGATGGGACAATGGGAGGTACTTACAGTTTACGCATTTTCCGTCCTGTCAAATGGAAAGTCCTCACAAAATTTTAGAAAAAATGTCTTCAAATAAAATCTACAAATAACAGAATTCAGTACTGTACAGCTGTCTTGTAAATTAATTGCAACTTGATTGCACTGGCTATGTTAACTGCTAAGTGATGAGAAGAGCTGGTTGTACTTTCTAGACATACAACATTACATTTATCATGAATAAATGAAGATCATTTAGACAACCCTTTACATCTTTATATCAGTATACATATTCTCCATACTTTTCTCTATACATTTCCTAAGGTGCTGACAAGGAGAATTTGTGTAGCAATCAAGAGCTGCTTTGGTCAGTGATCATTTCCTTTATTCTCCTGACCTTAATGTTTGATTTAGAGGTGATATGGTAAGGAAAAATTAAAAGGTAGTCACTGCTAAAAGGTTAACTGAAATTGTTGATTGGTAACATACCTTTTCTTCTTGTAACAAACTCAAATTTCTGCGGTACTAAGGTATCAAGGCTGATGTTTAGTAAGTTTAGTCCAACTCTTTTTAGCTGTGGTAGCTTTCTTGCCAGGGTAATTCCATTTGTTGTCATTGCTAAAGTTTCAAGTCCTTCTATTCTACCAAGTTCCTCTGTTCATTAATAAAAAGATTCAAAATTACATCTTAATAAATATATCTTATCAACCAAGTGCAAGGGCTGTACTGGGAGAATATCGGCATGAGGTCTTGACAGTACGGACCAAGTGCAGCGAGGTCCGTACAAAAAAGACCGAGGGCCGATATTCTTCCAGTACGGTCCCGNAGAATGTTGACCGGCAATTGAGCATTTTGATTGGTTGATTTTAGTTATTAACCCTCTGACTGCCCAAGTCGTGTAATAAAAGTACCTATTAGCTTTTTGCAAAGCTAATGATAACCTGAAGACTTCTAAGTAGCAAAATATTCCAGTTGAGAGGCATTGTGGAGGGTATTTGTGGCCTCTACAGTTCATCTTGAATCCAGCTTTCTAATGAACCACTTGGCTGGCATGACTGCTCTAATTAAACTTTAATAACTCCAATAAAATTAAATTAAAAAATATAAACATCAACAAAATTAGAGCTAGTGCCATCTGTCTTGTGAGCATTTAACATTTTTTCTGTTTGAATGCTATTATGTTTTTTGGGAGGTGCAGTAGCCTCATAGTTAGTGCGCTCGACTCCGGATTGAGTGGTCTGTGTTTGAGCCCTGGCCAGGGACATTGTGTTGTGTTCTTAGGCAAGACACTTTACTCTCACAGTACCTTTCTTCACCCAGGTGTTTAAATGGGTACTAGCAAATTTAATACTTGGGGGTAACCCAGTGATGGGCTAGCACTCCATCCAGGGGGGAGTAGAAATACTCCTGGTTGCTTCATGGTACTGAAACTGGAGTTAAGCACCGACCTCTGGGGCCACTTGACTCATAAACAGAATCTGATTTAACTTTACCTTGTGTTATTATTTTGCATTTTCAGCAATAAGGTTAAATCAAAAGTTAATATGTAATTACTAACAATGACCCTATCAGTTCCATCATGGTTATTTAATGGCTTGCTGTTGTCCCATGAACAAATAAAAAAATCTGAACAACTTGCTTTTAAATCATTTGTACACTGTACAGCCATTGAAAATATTTTTCCAAGACCTGAAAGTTGTAATACATGTTGTTGTGTATTCATTTAGTGGAGACACACACTTCTCAATTGCTTACTACTATTCTATCTTTATTCGTTGATCAAGTATCTTATAAGCTGGTAGAATAGTCTTACTTAGTAACAGTACTTTCACATCACTCAGTAATCTTACAGTAATATCACTAACACTAGTACAAGTACTTTTACTGTGTTCTCAATACACTACTCATGTATATCACATTCCATCAACAAATATAAATTCAAAGCTAAACAAATGCCTAATATTCAATTATATTCTTTTCTAAGCATTGAGCTTTCAGCTTAGCATTACTAGCTCCTACATTATCATCACAAATGATAATATTGTAAGAAATAGACAACTTTTTTGAGAGACATGTTTCGGCATGCTTATGCCATCTTCAATCAATGAGTAACAGAACGTGAGTAATTATATAACAGACAAGTGATGAATAAAATATTTACAGTATGATGACCTCCAATTGGTAATCTTTTTGTTCTTCCATAAACAAACTGCAAGTCTAACCCTAGACCCCTTTATGCCATACTCATCTGTTAATTATTAGATTAACCTGTTGGTAATAAAGTGACTTTGACACCCAATGAAGGTCATTTTTTTCATAGCCTGAAAGTAACAGTGAGATGTGTCATATTTCACTGACAATATATATATCTTATTAACCAAGCGCGAGGGCCGTACTGGGAGAATATTGGCCCAAGGTCTTGACAGTACGGACCGAGTGCAGTGAGGTCTGAACAAAAAAGACCGAGGGCTGATATTTTTCCAGTATGGTCCCGAGCAAGCTTGGTTAATAAGAGATTTTTTATACGACTGAAGTTAAAAGGGACACAAGTGAGGTATCATTCGGGACCATTCGGGACAGTGCCCGGTCCAATACTTAGAGAATATTGGACCGGCAATAGAGCATTTTGATTGGTTGATTTTAGTTATTGGCCCTCTGACTGCCCGAGTCATGCAATATATCAGGAGAAGTCCCTTAAGGAAGATATAAAGGATCAACAAATCTTACCACAAAGTTCAACAATATCCTTGCGCACCAAAGGTTCGCCACCAGTAAGTCTGATTTTGTTGATTCCTTCTCCAACAAACAATTTTGCCAAAGATACAATTTCTTCTGTTGTTAAAAGTTCTGAGTTTGGAGAGAGTTCGACACCTTCCTCTGGCATACAGTATTGACCTGAAAGTTGGACAATTATCCCTTTCACTCCCAATTAAGATCTGATGATCAAGTCTCCCCTGTAGTTGCTACACATTTCCTTGTAACACTGTTATGAGAATTTGATGTTAAATCAAGATAACAACTACTACCTGATAGGTCTGAGTATTCTTACTACCTGTTTGCTGGATAATGTATGGATATTATAGGGAGAAGTTACATGTTAATCACTTCTGGGAGTTAAAGGGTTGTCTCAATGGGAAGTTGTACTCATTAATTAATTTATGACAAAGATTTTATAAAATTTAAAGTTCAATGAATGGCATGGGTTACAAGTCTTGTAGTTTTCATTGAAATCTTAATAAATAATGAAAGTATAAAGTTATACACAGGTACTTACATCTTAGATTGCATCGTTCTGTCAATGAAATTCTAAGATAAGTGTGATGTCGTCCAAACTTGTCAGTCAAAAAGTCTGAAAGAGGTCTAATCTCTTGGTCTTTAAAATATTTTCTTTGTCTTGAGGACTTTATCTGAAAATTGATAATTTAACAATGACTGGTATTAAAGTTGTACATATGTTGGTTCTTCTTAGCAACTACTTATTTATTAACAACCCATCTATAATAGAAATAGAAGGCAATCTTTAGCCCTGACTAAATTTCTTCTTCTCTTGACCTTATATAGCCTTACTTCATAGCTAACAGCATATGTACTTTTCCACATTGAACATTATAAACAGGTGTATTCTTAATAGCACATTAATACGCCAATGAAATATCACATACTGTAGTTGATACAGAGTGATTGGCTTATAAGAGGGAGGGAGGGGAGGGAGGGGGGAGAGGGGTAAGAGAAGGTGATCCTTCTGGGTAACATAATGTTGGTTTTTGTTGGCATTTGTCAGATTCATAAATACAGTTGTATCAAATATCCACTTCAAACAAATAAACAGCTAAAAGAGAATCAACTTGACTGCTTGATTCATCATGCTGAGCTTAGTATATCTGCAAAGCTTGGTAAGAGGTATGATGCAAACTCAAAACAATGCAAAACGGATCTCAAACTTGTTGAAGTTTATGAAGCAAATTAATTGATCAGTTTCAGACCCACATCCTCGAAAGTTTGCAACAGATTCTACTTAATGTTTGTAGATTTACTTAACTGATATATGGAGATATAAATATATTTTTTTTCTTTGATCTCAATTGTAATTGACTGATATGTCGTGTCAATTATTTGTACGTGTCAGTGACCAACACGAAAGCCTATGCTACTTTGGTCACTGAGCAAATTTTATCTTGGCTGCGTATTGTAATATATTTTTTTTCTCTTTAATTGATGGAATTTTTTTTTCCTTTTGTATACACTTTTGATGTTATAAATTTTGAAAATAGTGCATAACAAGGAAACTTGGTAACTTGTTGTAGCACTTGCAATTGCGTGACACTGGCGAAAGAAGGTAGAAGTCTTTTTCTTGCCTCTAATTCTTGTCCGGGTTTTTACTTTAAGAGGATAATTCTTCAGACAGACAATTCCGTTTGAAACAAAATTTCTAATGGAGCTCTTGCTAATCGAGATGTGAATCGATTGTCAACCATAAACAAGGACCCCTCAATCTGCTATGCACGCCGATGCTGGGAATTTAAGATTTTCAACGCATATCCATTCCACAAGGCTAGATACGATACAGATTTCTGAAATTGTTGCAGTAAATTTTTTCTCGCTCAGATTCCCACAATATCCCTGTAAACGGGCCGGCAAATCAGTTCAAAGAACACATGAATTCAACGTGCGCCGGGGTTACACAATCCCTGTGCAGATCATATTTCTGAGCTTTGTAAAAAAATTAATCTATGAGAAATTGAGCTGATCATACATTCTGAACATTGTCATCTTCCATGGGTTTTGTGTGCTGTCGTCTAAAGAGCAAACTTGCAATTCTACAGAATTTGACCCTTGTGTTTCCGGCGATTAGAGGGCAAAAACAGCGAATGGAATACTTGATTACATTTGCAGCCGCCATCTTCGAAATCCTCCAAGACACTATAGCGTTTAGGGTACTGGGTACTAAAATATTTTCAATATGTCGGACGACTTGTAGTTTGAAACACGTCTAAAGTAAAAGGCATACATTTTGTGGATTTTTGTGCTCGATTTCAAGTATAATAAGGATCATGGCATCATCAGAGCAGGTGTAACCAAGAATAGGGTTCCAAGGGCTGCAAAGGTTTGTATATCCCATGATTTTAACGAGAAAAGTTTAGTTTGAATAGCTAGTGACAGGAAAACATGCAAACGAGGATCATGGATTCGATAAGCTTCTATAGCGTAATCTTTCCAGATCCAAGCCATTTCTTTTGTAGTTCGTCGTTGATTCGTTCATTGAGAAGAGCTGATCTTTCCTCCCTAGCTAACAAAGTTTTGATATTCGACTTTGAGTGTAATTTAACTTCGTGATCCGCGACTTTACTTCAGAAGTCTTTAACTATTCGTTCAAGTGACTGGGACGTCTTGTAATGTCAGTGATGATGAAAATAAGGTTCTGGGAGAGAGGAAAGTTTGCGAGTGTACTTAAGTTTTCTAGCCTTAATTGGCTTTCAACAGACTCTTTATTTGCAAGATCTGGATTGTAATGTAACTCTCTTCTCTATTTGCTGCTCATCCTCAGTGTAAAAACCTGTGAAGCTCACGAGTGACGTAAAACAAAGACAACAAAACATTATAAACAATAGCATACAGCAAAACAATACCTCATGAAACAACGAAAACTCCATCAGGTTTTTACACCGAGGATGACCCCTATTTGCCATATATTTCATCGTAAATTTTTATTTACACGCTTGCTATATCAAGAAAGCAAGCATGAAGTAACAAGGTTGTTACAGTAGTCAAGTAGATTGAGTTCTGGGTATATGTATCATGCATGTTGGGTTCACATTCACTGAATTTATAAGTTCTGTTGGAATGTGATTGAAGCATGTCACCCATCAGGAAATTCTTAGTCAACACCACTCACTGCAGCAATGAGCTTATCAGGTTTTGAAATTTTCCAGAAGTTGCAGAGTGTGTCTGCCTCAGGGAATTTCAGTGGATATTTTAGCAAATGTTTATCCCAAGCTCAAGCTGTTGACTTTATCTTGCTTTTGTCTGATATGATTCTTGGATTGCTACAACCAATGCTAAGCACCAAGTTAGCCTGCTCCATACATTGCTGTCTTCCAAATTTTTTACCATTGGTGTATGAAGTGTATAGCATATGTAGGGATGGTGCGGTGGTGAGAGTGCTCACCTCCCACTACTGTGGCCCGAATTTGATTCCCGGACTTGGCGTCACATGTGGGTAGAGTTTGTTGTTGGTTCTCATCCTTGCTCTGAGGGGTTTTCTCTGGGTCCTCTGGTGTTCTTTACCCTGCAAAAACCAACATTCCAAATTCCAATTTGACCTGGAGTTGAGTGTTTTTAACATGAGTCACTGGCTTGGAGATTTGGCAACCACTTGCCACATTATCAACTTCAAATAAATTATATAAAAAGATGTTGTCGCAAACATTTATCCCAGGCTCAAAAAGTTAAATCTTGCCTATTTTTGCCTGATATGATTTTTAAATTTCTACAACCAATGCAAAACATCAACAAGTTTGCCTGCTTCAAATATTACTGGCTTTCAAATTTTCCACCATTGGTGTGCAAAGTTTTGTTTAATGTCTCCAGATAAGGTGCTGTAAGTTGGTGTTATTTACTGATGACATTTGTTGATATTTTCAGGTGAAGAAAAAGGCCCCAGTTCCAGTTCAGATCACAGCTGAACAACTCTTGAGAGAAGCAAAGGAGAAGCAGTCAATTGGTTCCACCAGTAAGTTAAATAGTACATACTGCAGCTGTCTTTATAATTCCATTATTAAGTGTTAATTGCAAACTTTTTGGATAAATTGTTGTATTCCAAACAGAAAGATATTTAGATTGTCAAAGTGAGAGAAAATATTCCAGAACATTATTTTCGTAACCAATTTTTCTTGCAAACTCCTTATGATACTGGGCTTTATTTTCAACTTCAACCAAAATTAATTGTTACGAGAATTGATTTAACTCTTGACTCCCAAGCTGTGGAATTTCAGATACTTGTTCCCAAATAAGCAATGAATTTTTATTGGTCTGCTTTAACTTGCCAGTACAGCTTCCACTTTTGAAAGATATATTCCACCTTTTAAAGAGTAGACTTTGTAAATTCTTCTTTTCGCAAGGTTCCCTCTTTTTAGAATTAAAGATTGAAAAGAAAAACAATGCAGTAATACCAAACTTGAAATCAGTTCAATTACATCCCATCCCATTATACCAAAATGATTTAGGTTGTCCACAATAAAAACAAGAGATTTATATATTATTAATTCTACATACCAATTTGTTTGCTGATTTAAGATGACTCTTAAAGTTCCCAAGATCTTACTGTTAATTTTCCCCTGTATCTGCTACACATTTCCCAGTAAATCAGTTAAAGAAAAGTTTGAATCTTCTCATTATCTGTTTGCTGGATAACGTATGGATATTACAGGGAGAAGTTTCATGTTAATCACTTTGGGGAGTTAAAGGTTTACCAATTGACATTCCATTTCAGCCTCCCAAACAGAAGATCAGGTATCCTGATGAATTACAAGAGTACTAACTTTGAAAAAGAAAGTTTTGATATATATTTGATTTATTAGGAGTTGGATTAATATTGATCTTAAATCAAACTATTATTAGTAATAATTATAAATTTAATGAATTTATGACAATAATTCTATTTTATTTTGCCAGGCATTTGAAGACAACCTTCATAAAAACAGATCAGTGATAAGTAACTGGTTGAAGTATGCTTAGTGAGAAGAAAGTCAGAAAGAAATTCAAAGGTAGAGATTGAATCTGTCATTGAATGTTTTACAAATAATAAATAATTTGACAAATTGACAGTGGTTTAGTGTGGTCTGTACTCTTCTTAACAACTATATTTGTCATCGCAGTGGTCAAAATGTTGTGGACTCACAAGGTGCGGCTGAGTGAGTCCACAACTAATCAGTATTGAACCCTTTAACACTCAAGATCTGGGCCGAGTTGTTCAAAGCTGGCTTAAGATAACCCAGGGTTAATGTGAAATTTGATTTCAGATCTGAAAGCTTGTGGAACAAATTGAGTTTACTGCTTTTTGTTTAAAATTTGATGATTGAGTGCTCTAAAAATAAGAGGGAAAATTATTCCAAAACGGCTCTTGAACAGCAAAATATAGAAACCTGGATTAAAATTTAACCCTGGGTCAACAGTAATCAGCCTTCGAAAAACTGAGCCCTGATCACAAATTCTCCCCTTTAGCTTTAGGGAATAAGTTACCATTTATTGAAAAATCGTAACAATTGTTTTTTTTTTAAATCACAGTTAAACAAAGTAGATATTGTGATATTAGATTGTATTATATAGCTGGCAGTGCCCTTGGGCAAGTGAAAACGAATCCTGTGTTTTATTGGCTACCTAAGTGGGCAAGATGGGCCCATCTTGCCATTGCAGATTGCCTGCTCTGATCTTGCACAGGGAAACATTTTGTGTGGAGAGGACTTAAAAAATTTATTAAGTTGACAGCTTTCTGATATTTATTTCACAGAGAAATTTACTCATCAATGTAAACCTTTCAGATCACATTATTTTTCAATTTTGAGTGAAAAAAAAAGCATACACAATCACATTTCATCATCATCATCATTTTATTTGGTAATGCAGGTTAAAAATAGGCAGCCAGGAAGGCTGATGTGGACCTACAAATTACTAAAGTAGTGAAATGATATTAATACTCACACTGCTAAAGACTTCTAAAAACCAATCTAAAAGAGAAAACTATCTTAAAATTTTTAAGTTAATTGTTAAAATACCCTATTTAGCCTAAGAAGTATCTACAGTTCTTATTCCTTATTACAATAGCTTCCTTATCGAAGGAAAAATTATGGTTATGGAAGGAAGATTTTCTCAAAATATCCTTAAAAAAATTAAAACTGACTCCAGAAAGCTTAACTTTATTATTTAAAAAGTTCCAGATATGAGGTCCTCTGTACTGGAGGGAATGTCTACCAGCTTCTAAATTAACCCTTACGATGGCCATCTGGTTTGGCTCTTGAAAAAGTAAATGATTCCTTCTTGATTCTTATCCATTTTATTGCCATGTGATAAATCTGATATTGACTAAGCTTGTTTTGTCAAGATAATTGGTTATATCAACTAAGTTGAAATTGTAAATGGGCCACCGTAACGAAAAAAAAGCTGACGTTTCGAGCGTTAGCCCTTCGAAACGTCAGCTTTTTTATTCGTTACGGTGGCCAATTTACAATTTCAACTTAGTTGTTATAACCAATTATCTTGTTACCCCCACCGACGCAGCACCACAGTTTCTTTAGAAACTTTCAGCCTTTATTCACTTGTTTTGTCAAGATGACTGGAAATAATAATAATAATAGTAAGGTTTTTATGAGCGCATTTAAGAATCTCAATGCGCTTTCATAGCATAATAAAAATAAAATATAACAATGATACTAACAGTCAGTAGTACCTACACTATCAAAAGTAAAGTTAAATGGGATAAAAACCTATGTAGTGTTTCACAATACTAAAAATAAAATTTCCGGAATAGGAATGTAGGAATAAGGGCAGATTTAAAAGACGAAAGAGAAGCTGCAGATTCAAGAGAATCAGGAAGAGTATTCCATAATGTAGGTGCACAGAAGGAGAACGCACGTTCACCGTATGTCACAGAGTTTATAGTGGCTGCAGTAAGAAGTGATTTGGAAGATGAACGTAGAGTACGTGGTGGATGATATTCTTGTAACAGGGACGACAAATAGACCGGAGAAAGTCCATAAAGAATCTTAAAAGTAATAAGAATAACTTTAAATAATTATTATACTTCATTCAACTGGCAGCCTGTGTAGTTTTTGAAGAGCAGGTTTGATGTGATCATATTGTTTAGATCCGGTAATAAGACGTGCTGCAATGTTTTGAACTCTCTGGAGTTTGTCGAGTTCCCGTTTCGGTAAACCATAGAGGATACTGTTACAGTAGTCCAGTCGTGATATTACGAGAGCATTGACTAATAGTTTAAGGTTTTCATTTGTGAGTTATTTACGAATGCTATGGATCTGATGGCATTAGTTGCTTTCCTGCATGTCTCATTAATATGGTATGTCAGTGTTAGATTTTTATCTAAAATAACACCAAGATCACGTACTTTCTCAGGTAGTTCAATGACGGTACTGTGAAAAAAGAGCTTCTCAATGTTAGGTGTCTTGGTAAATCGGGAGGTGAATAAAATAACTTCAGCCTTTTCAGCATTACTTCTTAGCATATTTTGGGTATTCCATCGCATCACGTCCTCAATGCAGGTTTGGAGGGCAGTCATAGACGGGGCCTGATTTGCGGGATCGATAGTAATATATTAATTAGTGTCATCGGCATAAAACAAAGAGTCGAGATTGTGGCGAGCAATGACATCTTGCAGAGGGCAATATACAGGGTGAGAAGTAGGGGTCCAAGTATGGAGCCTTGTGGGACACCATAACGAAGAACACGAGGAGTGGACACTTGATCTCTAATAATTATTGATTGACGACGGTTTTCAAGGTATGATCTAAACCATTTCAGCGTCAATTGTGAGAACCAAAGTAGGATTCGAGTCTTTCCACCAGGATCACATGCTGAATGGTGCCAAAAGCCGCCGATAGATCAAGAAGGACTACTACAACATCTCGACGGCGGTCTATCGTTGGAAATTAGTCACGTCCTTTTGTTGCAAGACACGAAAAAAGAAACTTGGACAATGATGCATACGAAACTGTTAACAGCTTGATATAGTGCCACTAAAACTAACTCTTAAGCTAGAAATTTGATCTTTTATCATTTAAGAATACATGTCTAGCAGCTGATAGAATCTTAAATCTCAGCGGATGTGTACTTGACACATGGAATTTTCTCAGGAGAATTTCTGCTTCAAGAACTGCTACTTTAACCCCTTAACCCTTCAATTCCCAAGATCTGATAGTTAATTCTCCCCTCTAGCTGCTACACATTTCCTTGTAAATTGGTTATGAGAATTTGGTGTTAGATCAGGATAACAACTTCTTCCTGATAAGATTGAGTATTCTGGGTAATGTATGAATATTATGAGGAGAAGTTACATTTTAATCGCTTCTGGAAGTTAAAGGGTGAAATTCAAAGGGGTCAGATTCACAGTACATTAGGTGCATATATCTGGAGGGCACAACCTCCTTCTCTTTACAAATGCCAGCAGTAGTTTTGCCCATTGTGGTCATCTTAACAAGAAAGGTGAAAAAAGATGATCAGAAATGAACAGAATTAGGAAATGCAAGAACTGAAATTTTTACCTATTTCCAAGGAAATTTGAATTTACATGTAGAGGGTAATTTTTTTATTAGTGTAAATTTCTTGTCAGGGTAAGGGATTTTGAATGAATAATTTTTAGTTGAGAACTCTCACAGGTTATCATCAATTATGGTTACCCTTCCCTGTCTTTTGTATGGAGTGACTGAAAACTTGAGAGTCAAACTTGAAATTGCTTTAAAAAAAATGATTCAATTTAGTTTCTGAATTGAATGATTGGTAGAAGAACAACGCATTTACTTTAGTATGTATATTTTCCTGGTTGTTATGGAAACGACCAGTATACGCCCATCTGGTGCTGTTGCAATTCGAATTGGACCTTCCAAAGGAACGATAGTTTTGCCTGTAAAGCGACCGTCTAAAGAAAATTGCCGAACTCTGTTATTGTCAAAGTCACAAACAAGAAGATTACTGGAGCCGTCTAAACACATGCCACAGGATGTGTTGATCTGTCCGTCTTGTTTCCCTTTTTCTCCAAACTTGTACAAGAACGTTCCTGACGAATCAAATGCTTTTATGCAGTGACTGTCTCTTTCAGATACCAGGAAAATGTTTTTGTGAGGAACACAGCTGTATGGTCTGCTGAGTTTCTCTGGTCCACTGTCTCCTATTGTGAAAATAGTTTTGCCCTCTTTTGACATGACTTGAACTCTATTGTTGTGGAATTCAGTCACAACAATGCGTTTTGTATCGTCAAGACAAATACCAAGTGAACTCAAAACAGAACCAAAGGTTCTCAAAACAGAACCCGTCGGGATATTTATGTGTTGTATTCTATTATTTAATTGATCCGCAATAAGAATTTCGTTGTCGTTTAAAAACAACACGCCAGCGGGATCTTTGAATTGTCCAGGAGCTCTTCCTTCTTCTCCAATTCGTCTTAAACAGTGTCCTTCTTTATTGAAGACATAAACACAGTGTCCGCAAATATCTTTGACAACAATGTGTCCTTGCTTGTTGACAGCTATTCCATCGGGTCCTTTTTAACTCTTGCCCTTGGTTGAAGTTCAAGTCCAACTCGCCGACTACGACAAGTTTACGGTTTTTCACTGGCAAAGTGAACGGGCAGGTCGGAAGCTTTTTGCCATTAATCTTCAGTAGAACACTATAAGCGCCAGGCACTGTAGGTGTAAACTTACTTGTTGACCTAAAAAAGGCCTTCAATCTAGTTGATTATTCTGTGCTTCTTTTTAAATTCAACTCCTGTGGTTGTTCTCCATCCTCTTGTTGAGTGGTTCACCTCGTACTTGTCAAATCGCTCACAACGTACAACCTTCAAGGGAGTCCTATCTGAGTCTTGTCCTATATCTCTTGGTGTCCCGTAAGGTAGCATCTTGGGTCCTTTGTTCTTTTTGCTCTTCATAAATGATCTACCTCTCTATGTGTCTTCGGATGTTGATCTTACCATGTTTGCTGATGATACCTCTGCTCTAGTGAAAGGTTCTTCTTTCCCTTGCTTAAATAACTGTCTTACCTCCGTTACTACTCAAAGTTTTGCTTGGGCTGTCTTAATAGGATGGCACTTAATTTTATCAAAACTAAGGCTCTTCTCTTGACTAAATCTCAGAAATATGCTCATCTATCTGAACCTCTTTTTGATATTGTTGTTAAAGGTAACGTTAATGAGCTAGTCCCGCATGCTAAATTGATTGGCATAACAATTGATTCCTCTCTTTCCTGGGAAAGCTACATCAGCAATATGTGCTCTCTCATTAGGAGCAGACTTTCGCTTCTGAAAGGTATCAAACCATTTCTTACTCATAACTGCTCTTTGAATTACTATAACTCTTGTATCCACTCTTCTTTGTTGTACTGTTCCACTGTTTGGGGTACTTGCTCTAAAACTCTTCTTCTCCGTCTACTTCGTCCTCAAAAACAGTCAGCTCGCCTTATCCTTGACGCCGACTGGCATCAGTCCTCAGTCAGTCTCTTTGCCAAACTCAAATGGCTCCCCATTTTTCTCTTAGTTAACCTTAGAAAGGTTGTCCTCCTCTTTAATATTCTTAACAATCCTGAAGCACCAAGCTATCTCAAACAATCTTTCCATTTCTTGTCTTCTAGACGAATAACTGGTGCTATTACTAGAGCTTGTAACCTTGACCTTCAACTTCCTTATCCCCGCTCAAATTGCGGTAAACGCACTTACGCTTTCAGTGTAGCCTCACTCTTCAATTGTCTTGACTCCGACCTTAAAGAACTTTACCCTTCCCAAACCCCTGTACCTCTTTTTCGACTAATCTGTCTGCCTTCAAAGGTAAAGTTCTCTCTCTTTTTCTAACCTTTACCTCTCGTGCTTCTCACCTGGAAACGTTGCTTTGTCCCAATTGCCGCTACAAACTTCGTTGCAGTTGTACATCATGGTCTTTTCTTTTAAGTTTTTCCAATAGTTAATCTTAATCAACAATTCTCCATGATACGCTGTAAGTTTTTTTCTACTTTCACTCTTATGTATAGACATGTTCATTTATTATTTATACTTTGTCATTATGTATTTTTTTCATATTTTATGTCAATGTTTCAGTAGAGTGAGGGCCTCATGTTAGATAACTCCTTGGGTTAATGAGCGTCCCTCCTTAAATAAAGTTTATTGATTGATTGAAACTTTAGCCTGAGATTGCCGTCTTCTTTTTCTTGTACGGTTACATTTGTTACATCTTTGGTGGGTTTTATCAGGAGTTCAACTTGATCTTTACGATCAGGTGGTCACTAATCTCTCCTCTAGAAGTTTTTGGACATAACGCAAACTCTGCTTCTACGCTAGCCTGAACAGCTTGATCCAGTCTTTCCAGAGTTGATTTAGCTGTGTTTGCCGGTTTCTCGGTGAGTTGAATGAAACCCAGTTTGAAGTCTTGTTGCGATACCGCGATAAATTTGTCTGGTGATATTTCGGAACTTCAACTCCACGAAGGTCTTCAAACTTGTCCCTCAAAGTTGTCTTGGTCTGTATAATATCGAAGCCTGAGCTTCTCTGCACCAGATTCTCCGCAAACTCAGCGGCTTGGTTTATTTGTTGCACCAGAGATTCCAATTCTCGTTTAGCCGAGTTAATTAGCACGATTTTCTTCCTAAGCGTCGTTTTTAGGGACTCTAACAACTGTTTTTCTCGCCGTCTCGTCTTTGTGATCACTAGTTCGGCTGCCTCTGACACCTCTTAGCGATTGCGATAATCATTTCCACATCTTCAGATGTTTTGTCCAGTTTTCTAATCTCTGCTCGAAACAAGTTCGCCTTTTCCTTGATGATCTCGACGTTTGACATGATGTGTTTCTTATCCTCTTCCGTGGCATTTTCAATAACTTCGAATCATGTCCGCGATGGTCTTCAGCGAAGGAAACAGAACAAATACATGCTTTACAGGAAGAGCAGAAATAACTTATTCTTTTGCTCTTGTGTTGCGAGCAAAATGGAGGTTTCAGCAAGGCTTCGCTATCTTCCGTTTTAAGGAGACCAAGGAAACCGTTATGGTTAAAGCTGTTGTGGAAACGGTCAAAACGATTGTCTTTTGGTAAATCTATTTCCACCTGACACTCGGGGCATCGAAATTTCCCTTGTCTGTGGCTTTTTCTTGCATGTTCCTCCAAAAACTTACAGCAAAAAGTGTGGAAGCGCGATATTATTTTCGGTTCTGTGTTGGTATCGAGACAAATTGAGCACGTTACTTTTTTCTTGAGGTTTTCCAGGAGGGGGTCCATTACGTTGGTCTTGAAGTACAGACTATTCATGCGACGGATACAAACAGACACTTGTGAAATCTAAAATGTAATTTTTGATTCCTAGAAAACAGAACAAAGTTCGTGACAGTTGAGTTTTTGAGGCCAATCACATTAAAGCAGTTAGATGACCCATTTTGTGACCTTATGTCAATTTGAAAGTAATTTTTTCCTTTCTGATAAATAGACGAGTCGGTTGCGCTGAAGCCTTTCTGTCACGCTTCTCTAAAATGAAAGTTATTCAACAACGGGTCAGATGAAGATAAATATGGAACAGTCTTTTATGGTCTACCCTTACACGGACGGTTATAAAACAGAATCGATTCACAACAAGACAGCAGATTCGGTTGGATTTTCCCTTATAGTCGTAAAATTTCCATCAGTGTTCCATAAGTGAAAATCAGTGTAGCCTGTGGAATTACATGAGGATAGACAGTACTTACAAAAACAAATTCAAAGAAACTTTGTTTCAGATTGCTAGAAAACAAAACAAAGTCAGTGTGGACTCATCTATTTTCGTCCTGTCACTTTTCTTGGCTCAGTTGACCTCGTTGTAACGTTAGACTGTTATCTACTGCGTTATTGAAGTGAATTTATATTTGCATAAAAGATTTACATGTACAAAATCCGTTCTTTAAATTTTATTGTTAGTGAAAGAGGAAAGAATACATCGCCTGAAATAGAAGGAAAAACCTCGGGGCCTTATGACGAGCGCAAAACACAATTGATAGGTTCATTTAACGAAATTGTCGCCCTTCGTAGCTCCTTAAATTGAATTGTTCACTTTGATTTTGTTTTTCTCATCAACTTTCTCTCAGATTCAATCTTTGAGATTGTTCAACGCTCGTGTCGAACAAATGTTACAACCTTTAAGAAGCCTACATACAAGCAACGCAACTTTGCAATACTAAGTGTTTTTGTCAACAAACAATTCTTTAAAATCAGTGTTTAAAATCACGTTTAAAATTATACCCTATAATTTATCGATATATTTATTTCTCCAAACTAACTTAAAAGCACGTTTACATGGCACATATTATTAGCTTCCCATTGATTGTGCCTGTTTTTTTGTTTTCTCAAATTCATTTCACTAAATTTTTCTCCATAGTACATTGGAACATGTTACAATTCTCTGCCTCAATAAAGGTACTGCCCTCTTAAAAATGTGGTCTTCTTATTCGACCAGAACAAGTCGAGAGGCAGACTAATTGATAAAATGCTAAACTTATCTTAGACTCATTCAAGATCTCTTTTCTAACGATAGTTTTCATAGTATATATGTTGTAGTTCAATTTTATCCTTGCTTCAAATTTTATTTTCCTTTGTTCTCGGTCATGTTAATGCATGATAATGAGTTTGAAACAAAGGAAAATAAAATTTGAACCCAAGGATAAAATTGAACTACAACATATACTTGATTGTGCGTGACACATCAGTCAGTGGCGTGCTAACCACCCCCCCCCGACTTCTGTTTTTGAGGCCCAAGGAAGCATTTACACCGATGAGCATTTTTGCCACTTTGACCAACTTTGTGTATAAAAAGTATATATTCAATTTTAGTTTCCGCAGGGATACAGCATTTAAATGATTAGTGGAATAACAATACATTTACTTCAGTATGTACATTTTCTGAGTTGTCCTGGAAACGACTAGTATACGCCCATCTGGCGCTGATATAAGTCGATTTGGACCTTGTAAAGGAACGACAGTTTTGCTGAAAAGCGACCGTCCAAAGAGAATTGCTGAACTCTGTTATTGCCAAAATCACACACGAGAAGATTATTGGAGTCGTCCAAACACATGCCACGAGGTTCGTTAAACTGTCCATCCTGATTCCCTTGTTTTCCAAACTTGCACAAGAACCTTCCTTACGAATCAAATGCTTTTACAAGGCAACTGCTTCTTTCAGTAATTAGGAAAATGTTTTTGTAAGGAATACAGCTGTATGGTGAGCAGAGTTTTTCTGGTCAATTGTCTCCTATTGTGCATATAGCTTCACCCTCTTTCGACATAACTTGAACTCTTTCATTTGAGTATTCAGTGACAACAATACGCTCTGCGTCGTCAAGACAAATACCACATGGATTCAAAAAGTGACCTTTTCCTTCACCTGTTTCTCCAAACGTTTCCGAAACAGAACCTGTATGGATATTTATGTGTTGTATTTTATTATTTAGTAGATCTGCAACAAGAACTCAAACAGTTGTTTTTGTTGCTGTCGCGTCTTTGTGATCACATGTTCAGCTGCCTCTGACACTTTATGTTTAGCGATTTCGATAATCATTTCCACATCCCTAGATGTTTTATCAAGTTTTCTTATCTCTACTCGAAAGAAGTTTGCCTTTTCCTTGATGGTCTCAACGTTCGACATGATGT